CAAATAGGCAGGGATTGCACACGAAGAGCTCCAAACAGACAGAATCGGGTGGATCTTTGGGGGGGGGATACCATATATATATATATATATATAGCGTTGACAGCTTAAAAGTCGTAACCCATGGCTCTAACCATTTAAACCAGTAGGATTCAGGCGGAGAACTCTGACAAGATTCCTCAACCCTAAACCCTAAACCCTAAACCGTTCTGGGTCAGGTCCCAGGGAACGGTTTGAGCATGATTTTCCCGAATTCTGCGCATCCGGTACTCAAGGCTGCTGTGCTGAGCTCATGGAATCCTATCTTTAGGGGGCTTGGGTTTAGATTTCCCAGGCCCCGAACCCTCAACCCTAAGCCCATAAATCCTAAACCCTAAACCCTCAGACAGAAAAGGGCCCTTGACACAAAACAAACTAAACCCTAAACGAACAAGCCGGACTTTTCCAATACCCGGATTCCCTTGCGGTCCGTTGCACGTCTTCCAGAACCCCCCACTCGGCCTTCATAGGAAGTCAAAGTTTTTGTTTTTGGACGGGCGCCGTCCGAATGTCCTAACATGGAGGTTTATAGGGTTCAGGGTTTGGGGTTCAGGGTTTAGGGTTTAGGACGAGTGGCTATCTACCAGGCGTTCTTGCTTGCAAGCCTGCAGCAAAAGGGTTTAGGAATACATCGTAATCGGACCCCCAACCCCAAACCCGAAACCCTACTGTACCTACCAAGGCCTCACCTCAACTGTTGCCAAGCCCTTCCGGGCGACAGGTGCCATGGAGCGACAAGCTCTGTCGGGACGACTTGTGGACTTGTCTCGCGGCGTAGTTAGGCTTCAAGGTTTCGGATCTAAGTGTCGAAGGTTGAAGGTTCCGGGCTTCGAAGCAGCAGAGGGAGTGAGGTTCCGGCCCGCAGAGATGGACTTCCTAAACGAAACACCCCAAACCGCAAAAAGCCTGCGATGTTTACTGCACTGAGAATAAAATTTCCTGCTCGGAGGCTAAGGGGGTTTTGGAAGTAGATTACATGTAGCTGCCCATGATTCGTCGAGCATGCAGAAAATTGTCGAAAGCTTGTGTTGCCGGCTCCGTTTTGTTTTGAGATATACGTTGAGTGTAGAAGATGTACAGCTCAGGGTTTCGGAGTTTAGGATTACCGCGGTTGGGGCACATATCACCCACATGGAAGCGATGCACTGAAAAAACGGGCTCTAGGCTTTTGCATGTGGGATACGTTCTCAAACCAAGATAGTCATCCCTACAGTAAAGAAACGCCCTACTTTCAAGCCTTTCGGGTACGCCCTACCTATCATCATCCTTTCACGTGCATAAGCTCAGGCTTCAGGAGCCAGCTAAGCAGCAGGCAGCCATCGATTTCGCTGGAAGCTGCCTCTCGGCAAGTCTAGCAGAGGGGTCGGAATCACTGGTAAGAATATATCCCCCTACGGTCCCTATTGCGCCACTACCATTATCGCTATCCCCCTAAGGCCTTGAAGAGGCAGGGGCTCGAATGATGCCTCCTGAGGCCTCATGAGCCTAGCTCTTTGGCATCGATTTGGCTCCGCAGATTTTGCAGAGGCGCTGGGGTGGCTCGAGCGACCCTTGGCCCTTGGCCTAGCGTGTGGGAGTTTCGAAGTTGAGCAGTCCAGGCTTTTCTGCACTTCTTGTATTGTTGCGGATGGATTTGTACATCGTGAAATACACTCCGGCACCCGGCGTAAAATATCTAACATCAAGACTACAGTTCAGATCATAGTACGCACGATGCCACAACACGTTCCGTAATATATGTTCAACATTAGACACTCGACATCATTCATGCGGTTTTAATAGGTGAGACATTATGTAGTCCATGGTATGCTATATACGGATATGGTATGTTTTGCATTACATGATGCTTACTCTGCTTTGTCTCACATATTTCGTGGTTCACTGCACACGGCATACAACACCGGCGGCAACATGAAGAGGACGAAGCTTGCAATTTATACATCACTGCACAGTACTTTATATGCAGTATATAGTGCGCGATGTGCATCCTCTATCGAAAAGTTGCAAGTGTTTCTTCGGATTAATATGTCGGGCATGAACAGCTTTCTACGCAATAACCCCACGCTGCTTGCACAAACCCTGGCGCTACTCCGGCGCACCAGTGAAACATCTTGGTCTTCTTGGGGGATACCGGATCAGTGTTTCGTCACCGAGTGGGCAGTGCGTCGATGGCTTCAAGCCCTGATTCGACTTTAACCGCTTATAGCAAGTCCAACAGGTCCCTGCAGCGAATGTGTTGTGGAGGTGCTTATGACAGTCTGCACTTCCGACCTCAACCCTTAACCTGCTTTTGTGAGGCTACTTTAGCATGGGGGTTTTGGAGTCTTGGGTGTAGGAGTCGAAGTCAGCCTTACTTTCGGTACAGCATCCTTCGAGCGCTGCAGCATGGTGTAAAATCAAGGCTGAGTCAGGCCGCCCTTAGCTATTTGTCATTCGAGCGGTTCCTGCTCTTTTCTACCCTAAACCCTAAACCCTATTCAGAATTTGGATGATATTGACCGTTCGTTGCCCCGCTCCAGCAGAGTCCCGGCATCGTCCGCGATGAGTTTCAGGATGCGACCTGAGGGGAGGGACGCGAGCCGGCGGTCAGCATGATGCTTCCGGTGCATGATGCTGTAGATTCTCTGGGGCCGGAAAACTTGTCATATCTATCCCTTCATTGAGTCTGCATATAAATATACACCCCAACCCCATTCTAATCTTTCAGGCCCTCTATACAGAGTGGGGTAACACTGCAGCTCTGCCATGCTGTCGTGATGACGATTGCGATGCTGGCAATGCAGACGATCTTGGTGGTGCTTGGCTCTGCATACAAGTGCCATCACAGTTTGGTGATCAGTCTAGCATCTATCGTACCAATACTGTGTCTTCACACCGTTGTTTCAGGTCGTACTTTCGCCAGCTTCAAGCGGTACTAAGCAACGGCCTTGTCTTGGCATCTGCAACCTGCAAAGTAACACAGTAGAGTCAGTAGAGATAATGTGGGGGCCTAAAGAATTACCAATACTATTTTGGGGGTTCCTTATTAGAACTATAATATAATGGTCCCCAGAATTCTATTCTGACTCGTAAGGCCTTGATATTGTATAAATGCCGTGTGCCTTGCCTCGAAGGAGGGTCTGGAAGCCCTAGCCCCTAAAGCCCTGAACCCTAAAACCTAAGCCTAGGAACTGACTATGCTGCTATGGTGGCAACGCTGCCGACAAGGGCAGTAGAAGCTGCGATCACCTTGTGGAAGTCGGGACTTCATGCCGCAGGCGGCTCGTTCGGGTTTCAGTGTTTTTGGAATTGGGGTCTTGGGGTTTAGTTTTGGGGTGTAAGTCTACCGGCTGGGCGCTTTACGACCTGGGGGTTCGGGAACAGGGTTTGTAGCAGGTACCAAGCTAGATTCTACTTTGATGTCAAAACAAAAGCACGAACAAGAAGGATGCCATATGGAATGATACTCCTCGTTGTGATGACGACTCGAACAATGTCTACAGCCCTTTAGCCGTGGTTTTGTAGAGTGTCTGCTTGTTGAACAGGCAGCCACGAAGCTTTGGATTCAAGGTTCAGGGTGCGGATAGTATGATAATGGTATCACTATCACTACCAGTATGAAACGCCATTACAGTGCTAATATGGTATGATTGTTGGCCTCTTATTGTATTGTTTAGTTATTACTATAGTGTGATTACTGTTCAGGGTCTGAGACTTCTCCGGGTTGTTTCGTCGGTCTGGGACTACTTGCTGTCTCTACCCGGTACCCTAATTATACCTTGTTCCTGAACCTGTTTAGGGTTTATGGCCGGCAGTTTCGAGCTCCAATCAGGCCTGTGTAAAGGGAAGTTGCAATAAGAACGGAAAGCGCACAAGTGACGACATGCCCTAACCTCATGGTAGCCAGAAGTTGCTCCTCAACTCAACTACCGAGCCGCTACAAGGCGCTTCAAATACCCTTGAAGCATTCAAAACATGTCATTAGTCCGCGAGAATCAAGCTCCCCCAAGAAAGCGCGGAATCTCCCCGCACCTGATCAACCGTAAACCTGAGACACACTTCCATCTATTGTGCTAGAGATGTTGTTTTAGAATTTGAGGTTCAGATGTGAAGCCTTGTAGAGATGTGATTTCAGGTTCTTGCGAGTTTTACCTTGTGGAGTTTATTGCTTGTGGTGTTGTTGGGTTTATGAGGAGCTTAGCGGGCGAGAAGCATTTGGGTTCCGGGGTCGACGCCTCAGGGGTTTTTAGGTCGAGGGGCTCGACCGTTTCGAAGCTGCGGCGTGCTAGGGTTCACGATTTGTATAGGGTTCAGGATCCAAAACCCTAAAAGGCAGAAGCCTAGATAATTCCCAATATTACTCCTCAGGGTTCCCGATTATACTTAGAGTTGTAAGGAGCCCAAAACCCAATCCTAAACCCCTAAACCCTAAACTCAAAACCCAAACCCTAAACCCTAAACCCTAAACCCTAAACCCTAAACCCTAAACCCTAAACCCTAAACCCTAAACCCTAAACCCTAACCCTCAAACCCGGGCCCGGGGCTTTCATGCGCTTTGGGGCCTCAGGGTTTGAACCGCCTGCGGCTCAACGGCTGCAGCCGAAACCCTAATCAGGAGCCTCACGAAACTGGGGACCTAAAAAGGGGACCCTAATTTAGAGAACTACCCATATGCAAAGAACCTACGGATTTTGTCGGGCTTGTAGATGTTATAAAGCTTACGGTATAGGGTTCCCCAAGGGTCCAATGTACCTATATAGTAGAATGTAGGGTTTCTATATTAGGAATTACTATTATGATTTAGGGACGTATCCCCCATAACTGTACATAGGACCCTTTGGGTTACTATGGCCGAGGTTCAGATCCAGC